GAAACCGCCTACTAATTCATATATTTGGTAAATTTATTTCTCTCATGGTCTGGTGAGAGAGATAGGGTAGTCCCATATACATCTTTCTGTGTATAGTGCTTGTAACTTTACGAAGAATGAGCCAAATTTCTTATCATTTTGATGATTCCAGAACCTTGCAGATGCTAGATGCTAGATGATCGACCTTTTCTGATCGATTCCACAACGTTTCTTTCACAATGCAATCGCATGACCATTACTGGTCTTTACCTTTAACACAATGGAGACCATAAAAAGCAGTGCATGATAACGTTTTTTTTTAACAAGTATAACAGTTAAATACACAGTTATATCCAGAGTTATCATGTGTTTGGTTAAGTTACCAGATGAGTTGAATATCTTCTCACAATATTTGCACTTGAAAGGGTTTCTCTCCAGCGTGCGTTCTTTTTTCTTTCTTTTTTTCTTTTCTTTTCTTTTCTTTTTTTTTTTTTTTTTTTTTTTTTTTTTTTTTTTTTTTGGGCCGCCCAAGGGGGGGGGGGGGGTTTAAACCCCCTAAACCCCCCCGTAGATCCGCGCCTGCTTCTTCTTCCTCTTCTTCTTCTTCTTCTTCTTCTTCTTTTTCTTCTTCTTTTTCTTCTTCGTTTTCTTCATCTTCTTAATAATAATAATATTTAATTTTTATATTATATAAAAATTATATAATAGCGCTTAATAAAAATGTCTCTAAGCGCTTTACGAATATACTATTACTTCATCTTCTTCTACTTCTTCTCTTCCTATATTTTTCCCGATTTTCTCGGCGATGATTCTGTTTTTTGTCTTTTTTCTTTTGTTAGCTTAGAAATCCATGCAGGAATAAATCTAGAAAGAAAAAAAGAACATGATAAGATTACTAAAGAACACTTAAAAAAAAAACATTATTTTTAGGCAGGCATTTTGATTTTGGCACTTTCATGATTAATTTGACAATCTCAGGGTTTTTGTTGTTCTTCAAAAAATTGACACGGATCAGCAACAATCGCGACGAAGCAAAATATTTATCATAATATGATAAATATATATTGGCTTTAAAACGTGGGGGGGGGGGGAGTGAACATTTTGAACTCTATATAATTATTTTTAAAAGAACATAGGCTACACATAAACAAAAGACTAATGGGCCGACTCTGCAGGAACGAAACGGAGTTAAGTATTTTGTCAATTTTGTTTGTTGCTACGGCAGGCATCACTTTAAACAAACAGAACTTTGTTATTTCTGGCAGTGGCGGGTACAGGGGGGCGGGGCCCGCCCCCCCCCCCCTTGAGAAAAAAAAATCATGTAAAAACACGTGATTTTTACCTTTTTGAGGGTTGGCCCCTCACCCCCTGGCGATCAAGGGGTGGGGGGGGGGGGTGCAAATTTTTAATTTTTCGAGGACCAAAACAAAGAAATGCGCTCACTAACCCCCCCCCCCACCCCCCACCCCTTGATTTTCAAATTTTTGGGAGCAAAAAAAAAAAAAGTTGGGGCCCCCTCCCCTAAGAAATCCTGGATCCGTGCCTGATTCCTGGCCCATTTAACCCGAGTGAGGAGTCATAATGAAAGGGCAGAAAACGAAACTTGTAGAAATGTGATTTTCTCCTTGAAATTCAGATACCGTTCGCCGACTTTTTGATATCCTTTCCTCAAATTGATTTTAATCACTCATGCGTAAAATACGCATCATGCAAGTTGCATCAAATTAAAGAGGAGGGTCAAAGCTTTACAAATATGCAGTGGCGTAGACAGGTTCGTACACCTGGGGGGGATAACTCAGGGGCGGATCTAGCTTTTTGCTAAGGGGGGGGGGTGACCAAAATAATGACGATGCGGAGCATCGTCCACGAGCCGCGAAGCGGCGAGCCGATTTTTTTGTGGGTGTTTATTTGAACCCCGTAAGTGATGTTTTCCTGGCATCTATTAACACAATGGAGACCATAAAAAGCAGTGCATGATAACGTCTTTTTAAATCAAATAACAATTAAATACATAGTTATATCCAGAGTTATCATGTGTGTGGTTAAGTTACCAGATGAGTTGAATATCTTCTCACAATATTTGCACTTGAAAGGGTTTCTCTCCAGCGTGCGTTTTTTTTTTTTTTTTTTTTTTTTTTGGGGGGGGGGGGGCGCCCAAGGGGGTTTTAAACCCCCTAACCCCCCCCCCCCCGTAGATCTGCGCCTGTTTAATCTTGTGGTTATCTTGTGGTTTCCAAACCACAAGATAACCACAAAATACTTGTAAGATTTTCTTTTTTTTACCGTCTGAATTGGCTTTCACCGTGTGAATGCGGCTAATAACAATAAACACAATTACAATAATGATGAGGATTATTATTATCATCATCATAATTATTATTATTATTAATATTATAATTGTTATCATTATTATTATTACTATTATTATCATCATTATGACTTATTAAGTAAGCAAATATCATTCCCCAAAACCTGGGGGGGGGGGGATGATTGTACATGCCATCCCCCCCACCTTGTGAGGTGGGGGGATGCATCCCCCTCATCCCCCCCGTTGTCTACGCCCCTGCAAATATGTGTCATTTATTAATAATAGTTGTGATAAAACATAGATAAATTCTCGGTTTCGTTTTTTCTGGGACGCAGCGCTTTATATTTCACCAACCGAGATGGCGCTATAACCATTTTAATTCGATTGACGCGCGTCATGCGAATGTTGCTTCGGATCGAGTCTTAACTCTTATTCTGCAACTCGAAGTTGAAACTTGAAATCTGCCAAACAAAGATCAATGGGTATGTATTTTCATCAATTGTACAAAACGATTGAATCCTCTAAATTAAAATATAACCACCGAGTAAGAGCCACTTACGTGACATTGCTTGTTAATGTCATATTTGACTATTCTACTTCGGTCCCGAATGCGGAGATCGGCGTTACGTTTTTGGTTACAACTTGATACAAGCAGAGGAAAGGAGTCTCTTGCTTTTGTCTGTTAACTTATAGTCTCTTGACAGCTCAGAGGTTGACAAGATGTTCAGAACAATCGTTTTGTTAAAATAATTGGTTTGGGTGAATGCAATAAAGATGAGAAAGAAAAGAAGAAGAAGCTACAGAAGAAGAGGAAACAGGAATGAGGAAGTAATATATTATCACTCCAGCAAAACAAAGCATAGATAGAGAGTCAATGCTAATGCGTATTGACCTCTAGCACTGCATACATGCTGTGAGGCAGGGACCTAGAAGTCTATACACAAATATACACACCACACAATATCGCATAGACTCTACACAATGGAGCTGTAAGCAAAGTTTGACACTAGACTTACAATTTTAATTTTTAAATTATTCTTTTTAACATCAGTAAGTTGAAAAAAATGTATTTTACTGCTATTTAGGTGTCATCAACTGTCACTAAAGTACTGATTTTGAGTGAAATCAGTTGAGTTTTGACTTTTGTACAGTGGTGTTTGAAATGTTGAGAATCAAAAGCACAGCTTTTACTACACAGCCAGGATAGTGATGCTCCTATGTGTGTATATTATTAGAAGACTAGTAATGAAGAGGAAGCAGATGGAATTCGGAAGAAGAGGAGGAAGTAGAAGAAGAAAAAACAACAACACAGAAGAGAAAGAAGGTGGACGAGGATAGGAGGAGGTAGAAAATGGAAACGGAAAAGAAGAAGAATAAGAAGCAGAAAAAGAAGATGAGAAGAGGAGGAGGAAGAAAAAAAACGAGAAGAAAGACTCTAGAGCTCGAGAGAACAAGAATGTGGAGGAGAAGAAGAGGAAGAAAAAGAAGGATTATGAGGAGGAGAACGAGAAATCACCATGAAAGAGAAGACTCAAAATCTTCTTGAGACTTGAAATTATCAGAGACTCTTCATGTATTTAAGTAAATAGAAAGAAAGAAGAGAAAAAGAAATGGATGAAGTTCCTTTTTTGGACTTTGTTCTTCAACAAAGTCTTAGATTCTCCTTCATTTTTGTGGAAGTCTTATTAATATTATACTCTTTTCACACTGGTTTTGCTTAACCCCGTACTTTGCTTAGCCCCGTACTATCCTTAACCCCGGACTATTTTTTTTGGCTTTTCACACTCGCTTATTTTAGTCCCGTACTAGCGCCTATTCCGGAATAAGAAAATTCCCGCTGTTCTCACTGCATTTCGTTAACCCCGGATATCGTGTATGTTATGATTGGACATACTTCGCATCTGGCCAGCTGCGATACGCTCCATTGCGTAGTACCAGACTATTTTTCGTTTCTGTTCTCATTCATTTGCTTAGCACCGCAATTGCGGGGTTAGCAGGAGTTAGCACCACAATTGCGGAGTTAGCCCTGCTATTTTGCAGGGTTAGTTAACCCCGTACTATAGGTGGGGTTAGCCAACTTTAGCCCACTTTGGTAAAAACCAGTCTGAACAGAAAGTGGAATAGGCTTAACCCCGTACTATAGGTGGGGCTAAGACCCCCCCTTAACCCCACCTATAGTACGGGGTTAAGCAAAATATTGCCAGTGTGAAAACAGTATTAGATCTATGATTGAAACTAGAGTAGAGGTGAAGGGCAGAGATAAGGCATACAGCCATACGCTAATAAGCTTTGCACTTTGTAATTTTAAAAAGGAGATCTATGCATAGTCTAAAGTATCTTAAGTAAGTGTTTCTTTTGAGATATATAGTTTTATTATTGAGAAAAAAAGATGGACAAATCATCTTTCATAAACAAATCTTCCCTTCAATAACAATGGCCTGTTACCATGCAAAATTTGTATGACCAAATTAGAGGGTCGTTATTATAGAATGTAGGATTTTGCATGTTCCTGAAATGGATTTCACTTTGATTTTTAACTAACTATAATAATAATGCAATGAAGAATTTTTGTTAGGGTGTTGAATGACCTGCTGAGCTTTTAAAAGACCCACTGTCATGTGTTTTCCTTTTTTGACTAACAAAATGATGTTCTTTGATCTTGACCCCTCCCCCCCCCCCCAAAAAAAAAAAAAAAAAAAAAAAAAAAATCAAGATGAAATCATCTGAAGAATATTGAAGAATAATAAAGCTTCTATTCCGCTTATCTTTGAAATAAGAAGTTTTCCTGATAGATAAGCCTACTGTGGAAAAGGTAATACGCCGTTGGTACTGATTGTTTTTCATTATTTCAGTGCTCTTTCCTTTCTTACTCATTCAAACACATTTTGTTTACATGTATGCAGTTTCCTATTTTATAGTTTACACCAATGAGGGAAAGAAGCAGGAGTATTTCTGAGCAGCAGTGAGCTAAACCAGGTTCCAGTGTTGAGGGCTCATGTTAATTGCATCGTGGGAAGGGGCCGAGCACTCCCATCATGCCAAGCGTCATGTGCGAAGGGGTGCAGGTGGAGTTCCCGTTTGAACCGTACCCCTGCCAGAAAGACTACATGAGAAAGGTTATCCAGTGCCTTCAGATGGTAAGAAAACCATACTCTTCTACTCTTTGTTTTTGTGTTTTATGTAGTGTCCAAAAAATGAATATTTCATATTTCTATATTTCAAAGAATTCTTAGTTGATAATGTTAACTTTGAATCCCCACTGCACTACTTATAGCTACTTGCGCCCTCTATATAGCAAACGATGCCTAATTGATGCCTATTGGTCCCCCATGATCCCCTTTCTCTTACATTAATTGAGAGCTGATTTGATGAGATAACCACCTGTCAGTGACCATGCTGGGTGGTCTAATCCCTCCTGGCCAAACTAGTGCAGAAGGGCTTTGAAGCTTATCTGCACTAGTTTGGCCAGGAGGGATTATACCACCCAGGGAGGTCACTGACAGGTGGCTATCTCATCAACTCAGCCCTCAAATAACATAAGAAATAGAGGATCATTGGGGACCAACAGGCACCAATTGGGGAAGTTTTCTATATAGAGGGAGCAAGTAGCTACAAGTAAGACTATGAATTGTTCTTGGCAGAGTAAAAATGGAGTCCTGGAGAGCCCTACAGGAACGGGCAAGACGCTGTGCCTGCTCTGCTCCACTCTGGCCTGGAGGCATACCTACATTGCTCAGCAGGAGCTGGGGAAGTGCCTCAAGGGCAGTAACGGAGGCGGAGATGGTGCTGGAGCTGGAGCCGGAGCCGGAGCCGGAGCCTACAAGGAGCAGCTGATGACGGACCTCAAGGCTGCATCTGGGTGGGGAGAGGGCAGTGAAGAGGGTAAGCGTGGGACCGGTTTCACAAAACTTGTCATCAGTGACAAATGACAGTTTTTGTTATAAGCTACTGAAATCCTTGCTTCTGATTGGTTATCAGCAGATTTGTCACTGATTTTTGTAATGTTTCATTGAAAGAAGGCTTTGTGAAACGGGTCCCTGGTGTGAGTGAACCTGTTACAACGAATTGCACATCGAAATTCCCTGAAATGGCTGCCTTAAAAGGATTACATATTACGGGGAAAAAGTTAATATTATTTTTCGGGGGCTACTTTTCAACCTTCCCTGCATGAAAATAACATTCTAAAATTTGTTTTGCATTGAACTCTATGCAAATTTTCGGGGGCTCTTTTCTGATTTTCGGGGGCTCTTTTGGGCATTTTGGGGGCTATTTCGCCCTGAGACCCCGTGTATTTTTTTCACTGACATATCATTTATTCCAAAGAATAAAAGAATGGCATCTGTACCTTGACTTTGATAGAGTTAACCAGAAAAAGGGGGGGGGGGATATTTTAGGGATTTCTCATCTGAGGCAGGATTGATTTTTTGGTCAATTTAAAAAAAGATTTCATTACAATTATTTTTGTGTTTTTGGTACTGACATATATCTCTATGTATTTAATGAAATCTATATTTTAATGTCTGATGTCTTTTAGCATGATCAACCACTTGCCCTCTGGACAGTCTAGCAACTTTGATTTTGTTTTCTTCTTGTAATCACGTTATTATTTTTTGTAGGTTTATTCATTGACCGGCCCAAGATCATCTATGCTTCTAGAACCCATTCTCAACTCTCACAGGCACTGGACCAACTCAAAGATACCATATACAGGTGAGCTCAGTGTGTTAAATTCTCTCTTCACTACTTCTAGCTATATAGCAAACAATGCCTAATCGGTCACCATTGGTCCCCCATGATCCCCTTTTTTTTAATGTTAATTGAGAGCTTATTTGATGGGATAACCACCTGTCAGTGACCTTGCATGGAGGTATAATCCCTCCTGGCCAAACTAGTGCAGTGGGGCTTTAAACACATGTAGAATGCTTGAGGCTTTACAGGTCAGGAATTATATTAGGGCTACATTGATCGCATAATGTTTTTCAAATTGGCAACACTAATATTTAGCATTCATTGCTACATTACTAGAATGAAAAGTAATGTCTCTGAAAGCTTTATACATGTAGAAGGGCGAGAAAGTTGTCAAAAGATGAAAAATTTGCCAATTTTGATCGAAAAAAACAAAGATTTTGAATGTCAATGGTGCCAATTTAAAGATCTTAAAGCTTTTTTTTCCATTTTCAAATTCTTGGTATCAAAAGCAATATAGTTATGAAACAGAAATGGATGAAGTATGTGCATATTTTTTTTCTCTTTCTTCTCATGTACATGTATCTGGCATATTTTTTAGGACTCTGATTCAAAAGTAATTATACCAAACCACAAACTTTGGAATAATTTTCCCGAAAGAGGTGCAACAAAGTTGTTATTGTGAGTCAAGAGAGGTAGTCACTTCTGTGACATGCGGACAACATGCTCAAACCAGAAACTGAAGTTGGGAATGTAGCTAGTATTATAAATAGACCTGTAGCATTTATTGCTGGAACCATACATGTAGTTAAAATCTAATCCAACAGTTTATTTGATGTAGATGCAGCGGTGTCACGTTGATACATTGATATTCATCTGCATGTAGTTTCCCTTTGCCGCTATTGTCGTATGCAAAAATGTGTACCCCTTTGAGTCTTTATTTTTAAATCCTCTTTCAGGCCCAAAGTGTGTGTTCTGGGATCACGAGAGCAGATGTGCGTTCACCCTGAAGTAGTCAAGGTTGAAAGCAACTCGGCAAAGGTAATAGACAGATAATGGTGGAGAGAAAGAGAGAGAGAGAGAGAGATGTATGGAGAAAAAAAGATTGAGAAATTTAAAAGAGTGTATGTGTTTGCGTGATCCGACAGAGAGACAGAGAGAACTATGGAGAAAAAGAAGATTGAGAAATTAGAAAAGAGTATGTGTTTCGGAGAGAGAGAGAGAGAGAGAGAGAGAGAGAGAGAAAGTGAGAGAGTTTTTGACATAGGTAGGAGATGTATAGATGTATAGAGATAATACAGTATCAACCAGAAAGAATGCTTCCAGTATAAAAGTCTTTATTTTAGTTTTCACAAATGATGACAAAATGTTACAGGGAAGGGTCATTTTCATATGCAGCCACTGTTTTATAGAATAACTTAATTGCCGGAATCCTTCGAAATATAGAAACATACAACAAGTTCAGAAGTAATTTGAAACCATATCTATTTATGAACCCAGTGCACCATCTCCACTCCTTCTGTATTCTGTTCTGTAAAGCGCATAGCGATATGCAATTATGCGTTCTACAGAAACATTTAACGTCAACTATTTGTTATAAGATGTGTATGAAAGTCGGACCCGTTTCACAAAGCCTTTTTTCAATGATAAATGACAAAAATCAGTGACAAATCTGCTGATAACCAATCAGAAGCTAGGATTTCAATAGCTTTTAACACAAACTGTCATTTGCCACTGCTGCCAAGTTTTGTGAAACGCCCCCCTGATGTATGTTTTCTCTGATAGGTGCATATGTGTCGTGCCAAGGTGAACGCCAAGATGTGTCACTTCCACAACAATCTAGACAGTGAGTTGATAACATTGGAATATTATTCTCTTTTTCCATCTTCATCCTCTTCTCCCTCTTTTTCTTCCTCCGTCTCCAACCTCCAACAATCTCTCTCTCATTATCCTCTCACCAAGTCACTCTTCTGCTCTTGCGCTCTCTCCCACTATGTCTCTTCTTCAAAAACTCTCACTCTCTCAAATCCCCCCTTGTTCTCCTGCTCTTGCGCTCTCTCACCCTCCTCTATCTTTCCTCTTATCTCTTTTATTCTCCCTTTCACTCTTTGCGCTCTCGTTTTTATTTCTATTGTCCTCTCTGTCTCTGGCTTGTCTCACTTATTTTTTTACAGTTTTCCTTGTACATCCGTTTGTTGTTTTTCCCTGAAGCATTTAGTCTGTTATTTCTTGTATTTGTTATTATTTCTTTTCTTTTCTTTTCTTAATTAAAGCTCTGTATCCTTCATGTAGTATTATCATTGCATAAATTTTGAGTCTGACACGCAGTTTAAAGATAAAGACCAGTTCTGGGTCATGCGATTGCATTGTGAAAGAAACGTTGTGGAATCGATCAGAAAAGGTTGATCATGTAGCATATAAGTATTGGTGTGTACTGCAAAGTGCTGGAATCATCAAAATGATAAGAAGTTTGGCCCAGTCTTGGTAAAGTTACAAGCACTGTACAAAGAAAGATGTTTATGGGACTACGCGACACGTGCGCGATATCTATCCGGTCCGGATATATATAATAATTTACCAAATATCTCATTTGTAGGCGGTTTCTCGGCAAAATTTGTATCATCACGTATTAGTCAAAACATATTCTTTCACATGATTGGTAATAAGAGCTTCCATTTCATTTTTTGAGAGGGGGCGTTTCCAAAAATGGTCTATACCTTTAAAATATGATTTACATGAGGTAATACAATATTTATATCTTTTCTTCATTGCAGACAAGAAAGGAGAGAAGGCGTTTTCTGAAGGTATTCTAGATATTGAGGATCTAGTCAAACTGGGAAATGCACACAAGTAAGAACTTCTTTAATTTACCATATTCTAACATTTGCAGACATGTTGATCTCCACTTTAGCTAGGTAATCTGTAAAAAGGAAAATCATAATTTGTGTAAAATGCTGCTATATGGTCATGTACTTCTTCATATTAAGCAAGACTGCACTACTTGTAGCTACTTTTCTCTATATATCAAACAATGCCTAAGCGGTACCCGTAGGTCCCCCATGATCCCCTTTTTGTTATGTTAATTGAGAATTGATTTGATGGGATAACAACCTGTCAGTGACCATGCAGGGAGGTCTAATCCCTCCGGGCCAAACTAGTGCAGACAGGCTTTAAGATGCTCTTAATGCAACAGATTTCATTATTTGTTTGTCCTGTCATGTCAAATTTTGGTTTGAGGGAGATGCTTGCTGGGAGTTAGCATGGATTCTTCTAATTATACCTTTCAATAATGCCATTACAATCTATGCAACAGATAACCATAGAGATATATATGTATGTTTCAAGGTAAAACATAAGGTAGATTAAAGGTCCACTGTTCTTGTAGTTTACAGTGTATTTTGTATGTATGTTTTCTTTTTATCTTACAGAGTTTGTCCATATTACATGGCAAGAGAACTCAAGACCTCAGCTGATATCATATTTATGCCATACAACTACCTCTTAGACCCCAAGGTAACTACAACATTATCTTTCTAAAAAAAAACAGATTTCATTGGTGTAGTAGTATATATAATACTTTATATCACATATGAAGATTTAAAATGGGACTACACTACTTGTAGCTTCTTGCCCACTCTATTTAGCGAACAATGCCTAAGCGGTACCCGTTGATTCCCTGTAGATCCCTGTTTCCTTGTGTTAATTGAGAGCTGATTTGATGAGATAACCAGTGACCAGGCAGGGAGGTCTAATCCCTCCTTGCCAAACTAGTGCAGATAGGCTTTTAACAATTCAGTACTGCCTGCTGGACAATCTGGTAAATAATGCTTGGTACAAAAGCTCAATTTGCGTTCACAATGGAATAGTCCTTGAATGGCAAAGAAGTGGGTTGTTTGAGCGAGAAGAAAAAAAGGAAAACAAGAAGCGGGCAAGACAGTTTTCATTCTATAAAGTGAATTGTGGGCTTTAGCCATATAGAATAACAACGATTACAATTCGGAAATATGGATTTAGTTTTTGAAATATTAAGTTGGTATTTTGGTACCAATGAATATAACCTCTTGTCTTCACTACCACAAACTCACAAACTTCTTTGCTCACTTCTATCCTTGTATCAAAGTCCCTTTATACTTATGCCCTTGTTTATAATCTGATTTTCTTTTTCTTCACCAGTCACGCCGTATTCATGGAATTGAGTTACAAGGCAATATTATCATCTTTGATGAGGCGCACAATGTGGTGAGTGAAAAGGAAAGTCTTTCCTGATAACTTTGTTTTGAGAAAAGCAGAATTTATTTTCTTGTAATGAAGCTTGACAGTACATTCCTAGAAATGGCTTTAAAGGGACTTGGGAACATTTTTCAGATGGTAGTGACTTCAATGCCAGATGTACAATTAAAGATAATCTGAAAGTTTGAGTGAAAAGAGACCTTTATCAGTGATAAAAATTTGGAAAAACAGCAAGCGGTGGGGCGTCATTCATATACGTTTCCAAACAATCAGAAAAATTGCGGGGGGGGGGGGGCATAACCCCAGCCTCATTAGGGTTAAGGTTGGTCAAAGCTCTGTACATGTTATAATCACCCCAACCAATGAAAGTTTCTATATCACTCTATTCATTTTGTACTGAGAATCATTTTTTATGTTGTTTAAACATTTGTGGCTTACACCCAATTAATGAAGATCGATTGATCTGGGTGTAAGCCATAAATATGTTTAAACAATGTAAATTTCTCCCAGGAAATTTATAAAGTTTTTTTTATGTTGTATCTGTCAGGAGAGGATGTGTGAGGAGAGTGCTTCCTTTGACCTGACCTCATTTGACCTGGCCTCCTGTGTGGAGGAGACAGATCATCTCCTCAAGAAGACTGTAGAGGTCACCATGCTGAATGAGCGTTACCATGGTGAAGGGATGGGAGGAGGTGAGTCAACAAAAATGGAGTGGTGGTGTTGGTGGTGGTGGTGGGGGTGGGGGATGTTGGTGCTGGTGGTGATGGGGGTGGTGGTAGTCGTAGAAAAATAATGCACTTGCTAGTGTGTCAGAGAGGAGGATAGGGGGTGGGAGGGAGAGGGGGGAGGGAGAAGGGGAGAGAAAGAGGTAAGGAAAGACGGGAGAGGGGAGGAGAGAGAGAGAGAGAGAGAGAGATGGGGAGGGAGGGAGAGAAAGGGAGGGAGGGAAGAAGCAGATATAACATAGAGGGAGAGAGAGGGTATAAACATTTGTGTTTTGATTTAGTTTGGACGATCCTGTGCTTTTTTGTTAGAGTATTTTTGTACAGAATTGAGAGAGAGGCAGTGCTAATGTACTTGACAAAATTAACGGAAGAAATAGAACAAACAAATATATGGGAACAATTATCACTATGAGATTATAATCAAGAAGTTGAAGATTTTACCATGCTCTTATTTCCCTTTCGCAGATGATGAATTTGATGCTGCTGGTCTTGCTACACTAAAAAGTAAGCATTTCTTTTTTCTATTGATATCCAATCAAGAGTGAATATTCTTGAAATTATGTCAAAGACCAATAGAAGACTTGTTGAATGGTGCCATGTCTGTTCCAGACATTGGTGATTATGGCTGTCCATCTACTTCTATTTCTAGAGAATGTAATAATAATAATATATTCTATAGCGCCGTCTATCTAGAAATTCTACTCCAAGGTGCACTAATTATTACCCTGGCTTTAGCCAAGCTGCCATAACCGTGCTCCAGCATTTCAAGGAATTAATTCCTGCCAGGGACCCATTTACCTCATCTGGGTCGAGTAGGGCAAATGAAGATTAATGCTTGCCAAAGGACATTAGTGCCATGTCGGGGATCAAACCACGACCTTTGAATTTCAAGTCAAGTGCTTAAACCACTCGACTACGACACTAATATGTTAGCGGGTCCATGTATTTTTACGCTGTCTTACCCTGCTTCTCTTTCCCTCAATTTTCTGAGTCAATATCCTTGTATCCTTGATTTTATCCGGTCAATATAACGGTGTAAAATCCTTAAATTCTGAACAAAAATGGTTATGAGTTGCCGACACATGTTGTCATGATAACCTTTGTAAATTTTACCATCTTGTGTTGTTTGCAGAGCTGTTCCTGGACCTAGAGGAGCACATCAGTTCATTCAACATCCCAAACCACAGTGATGGAATCACCAAACCTGGAAGGTATTTATGATAATAATAACAATGATATGTCTTGTTTACCCAGGGTCACCTCATCAGTATACAAACTTTTCTCCCTGAGGGCCCTGCAATCATATCATTACTCCGGCTTATAAATTACAAGTGTGTGATATTCAACTGGGTTTATGTGCAAGTTTCTCCCCTCTCTGGCGATTCCGTATAATGTGTCCGTACAACATATTGCATGGAATCACCTTCTTCTTTTATTAAATCTACAATACATGTTTTATAACAATAATAATAATAGTAATAATAATGATAATATTCGGTTCTTGTATAGCGCATATCACATTATAACCTCCCTATGCGCTTCCAAAGAGCTTTTGGAAATTATTACCCCGGCTTTAGCATGGCTGCCATAAAGGTGCTCTAGCATTTCAGGTAATTAATTCCTGCCAGGTACCCATTTACCTCACCTGGATTGAGTGTGTGGCAAATGTAGATTAATGTTTTGCCATAGGACATTAGTGCCGCGTTGGGACTCGAACTGCAGACCTTGTGATCCCCAGTCCGGTGACATATCCACTCAACCAGGACACGCAACAATTGTCTCTTTAACAATTAGGGTTCAAGATTTTTTTCCACTTTCACTTTCAAAATTAAAATATCGAATTTAAATCAGAAGGTCAAATTGAGTTTCAGCTGTGTGCTGATATCTTTTGCTGAATATCTCTTAAGGCATGTTTAGCATGATGGACACACAACAAGTTTATGATTCATCTCTGGAATGATTTTTTTTTGTCTTCTCTCTCTAGCTTCATCTTTGAGTTCTTCAGTCAGGTGAACATCAATGCTGAGACCAAGAATGAACTGATGCAGCTACTAGAGAAAATGATCTCACACCTTACTAATAGTAAGTGTCAGTGCTGAGAATATTCAACACTATTTTAAAGCCCCACTGTACCACTTGTAGCTACTTGTGCCCTCTATACAGCCAACAATGCCTAAGTGGTACCCGTTGATTCTCCATGGTCCCCTTTTTCTTATGTTAATTGAAAGTTGATTTGATGAGATAACCACCTGCCAGTGACCATGCTGGGAGGTAAATCCCTCCTGGCCAAACTAGTGTAGATAGGCTCTAATGGGTAAAGGAGATTACAATCTGGACTTCTCATTGTAAACAAATGCTCATCCAAAGAAAATATGTTACAGGATCTATCATGCATTCTGAATTACACAAATCTGTCTCATTTGTACAGAATTTTGTTCACAATGTTGTCATTTTTTCCTTTCTTTTGATCTGTTGTTTCCTTCCAGGTTCCACTGTATTCCACAACAAAGCTGCTGGTCTGCAAAAGTTTCATGACATCATTACTGTAAGTTAAAGGGACTTGGTAACACTGTTCAGATGAGAGAAAATGGTGCTAAGGCAGTGAATTCAATGCTAGATGTACAATTAAAGATAATCTGAAAGTTTGAGTGAAAACAGACCATCATCGATGATACAATTTGAGAAAAACTGATCTGATCGATTCCTGAATTCTCCCAACTATATTATAATAATTTAATTAAATTTGAGGTGAAGGTACATGTACATGTAAATCATGAATTTGTTCAGGATTTTTTAAACACATTAGACGGTAAGTATAGAATATAAAAAGTAACATTTCAAACAAAAATTACACTATTTTTTCATGTTTTTGTCTTATAAATAGATTGTGTTTAGTCGAGATGGTCCCGAGGGTAGTAGCAGAACTCAACTGACCGCCTCTCAGATGACCAAGTATTACAAGGTCCACATCCGGACCACGGAGCCGACGCAGAAGAAGACCGGAAAACTGGACGTATGGGCAAGCTCCTCCAGTAAACCAAAGAAAAAAGGTAATTAAATTTCATTCCCAATTTCGGTTTCATTATTTTGATAAAAAGACATGGCAAAAGTCTAAAGATTAACATTGTTATATTTACATTTAAGTGCAAAATCAAGCTTACTGGTATACAAATCTTTGCCCTTTTATATGTGATGAGTTGCCATATATTGTTTTCAACCTTTTGTCATTTCTATAATCTGGGATTCTTATTTTTATGCCTCCGCCACCGAAGGTGGTGCCGGAGGCATCATGTTTTCGGGTTGTCCGTCCGTACGTCCGTACGTCCGTCCCGTTTGACCGTTATCACAATATCTCAAGAACCATTTAAGATTTAAACTTAAGACTCGGGAATAGTATTTATCACCATAGGAAGACGATCTGATTAGATTTTGGAGTACGTAGGTCAAAGGTCACAGGTCACAGAGGTCAACTTATGAAATTCCTTGTATTGAGTTTGTTAGCGCGATATCTCAAGAACCATTTGAGATTTAAACTTCAAACTTAAGGATAGTATGTATCACCATAGGAAAACGATCTGATTAGATTTTGGAGCACGTATGTCAAAGGTCAAGGGTCACAGAGGTCAACTTATGAAATTCCATACATTGAGATTGTTATCATGATATCTCAAGAACCACTGGAGATTTAAACTTCAAACTTAGTGATAGTGTGTATCACTATAGGAAAACAATCTGATTACATTTTGGAGCACGTAGGTCAAAGGTCAAGGGTCATAGAGGTCAACTTATGAAATTCCATACATTGAGATTGTTATCATGATATCTCAAGAACCACTGGAGATGTAAAAACTTCAAACTTAAGGATAGTATGTATCACCATAGGAAGACGATCTGATTAGATTTTGGAGCACGTAGGTCAAAGGTCAAGGGTCACAGAGGTCAACTTATGAAATTCCATACATTGAGATTGTTATCATAATATCTCAAGAACCACTGGAGAATTTTAATTTCAAACTTAATGATAGTGTGTATCACCATAGGAAGACAATCTGATTAGATTTTGGAGCACGTAGGTCAAAGGTCAAGGGTCACAGAGGTCAACTTATGAAATTCCATACATTGAGATCGTTATCGCGATATCTCAAGAACCACTGGAGAATTTTCACTTCAAACTTAATGATAGTATGTATCACCATATCATAATATCTCAAGAACCACTGGAGATTTAAACTTCAAACTTAATGATAGTGTGTATCACCATAGGAAGACAATCTGATTAGATTTTGGAGCACGTAGGTCAAAGGTCAAGGGTCACAGAGGTCAACTTATGAAATTCCATACATTGAGATTGTTATCATGATATCTCAAGAACCACTTGAGATTTAAACTCCAAACTTGTTTAAATTGCTCTATGGCGGAGGCTTCATTTTCGACTGCGCGCAGTCAAAATTCCATCTAGTTTTTTAATAGGCTAGTTTCCCCACAATGAATGTACATACATGCCATTAGATGGATCCTGACCCCCATATCCCTTTGAAAGGGGCGTAGGGGCAAATATTGTAAAAATTTGAATTATCACAACTTTCGGGCCGAAATTAGAAGGTCCGGGGTGGTTCAGCATTTTCGAGGAAAATATTATATTTTGTGAATAGGCTAGTTTCCCCAAAATCAATGTACATACATGCCATTAGATGGATCCTGACCCCCATATCCCTTTGAAAGGGGTGTAGGGGCAAATATTGTGATAGTTTGAATAAACACCAATTTCAGGCCGAAATGGTAAGGGCCGGGGTGTCTCAGGATTTTGGAGGAAAATATATATTTTTTTTAATAGGTTAGTTTCCCCACAATGAATGTCCATACATGCCATTAGATGATCCTGACCCCCATATCCCTTTGAAAGGGGCGTAGGGGCAAATATTGTAATAATTTGAATAAACACCAATTTCAGGCCGAAATGGTAAGGGCCGGGGTGGTTCAGCATTTTGGAGGAAAATATTATATTTTTTGAATAGGCTAGTTTCCCCACAATGAATGTACATACATGCCATTAGATGAATCCTGACCCCCATATCCCTTTGTAAGGGGCGTAGGGGCAAATATTGTAAAAATTTGAATTATCACAACTTTCGGGCCGAAGTTAGAAGGTCCGGGGTGGTTCAGCATTTTGGAGGAAAATATTATATTTTTTGAATAGGTTAGTTTCCCCACAATGAATGTCCATACATGCCATTAGATGGATCCTGACCAACCAAAAAATTACTTTTTTTTTACGAGGGCTCTTTTCAGATTTTCCCTTAAAAAAATAGCCCCCCTTAATTATTTTGCGGTGGCTATTTTGGAGCTCAGGGGGGCTTTTTTTTTGTAAAGGTTGTATTTTTTTTAAATGCAGTTTTACCTAATTAAATTCCAAGCAAAGGCAAATATAGATACAATTGTAGCGTACATATGTCATGTAGAGTATTGCAGTCATTCAGATACCCATGATTTATTCACTTTGTGTTAAACGTGTGGCTTTATGATTTACATATACATGTAACTAAAACTTGTCAAAAGGAGTGTTTTGTTTAACTGTTCGTTTTTCATACCCTAAGAAAATATTATCACTGACACGCGGGCTAGGAATTAATTTTTTTATGGGGGCTACTTTTCCCCATTGCCTAAAAAAAACCAAGGGGCTACTTCCTTAAAGCCATTTGTAAGCTGTAACAATAAGTTGTGTTTTTCCTTAGCCATCATACTACTAGCAACCAAATTGGTAGGTAATATGTTATTTAGTCTTTTTTCTGTCCCAAATTTAATTGTTATCATGGACAATGCAATCCCATTAAAAAAAAATGTAGACCAACTCCCTTTAAAATTGTGTTATTTAGACCATTTATAACCATTAAATGTGAGTAAATATTTTTACTGTTGTCCCACATACCGATGTAGGGTCTATTTGTTATGCCGAAACATGCAAAATCATGGCCTTATTTTTTTTTTATAGACTCTAATTCTAAAGGCCAAGCCAAAGCTAGTTTCATTTCGTAGACAGAAATTGATGACAATTGGCCTGGCATCGATTGTATATAAATAATTTAATTTAATTAAACAGTTGTAAGAAAGATTCTGAGGAGTAGGAACATCCTTTATATATTTATTTACGGTTTTTTTATAACAAAATTCAATTTCTGTGTACGAAACTTGCTTTATACCAATTTTACAGGAAAAAATCCGGCATTGATTTTGCACGTTTCGTTATTACAAATATATCAGTATGTGGGACAACAGTAAAAATATACTCGCATTTAATGGTTTTAACTTATAAATAACACAATTTTAGACGGAATAACATTTTTTTTAATGGGATTGCATTGTCCATGATAAAAATTAGGGCCAGAAAAAAGACTAAATAAACATATTACGTACCAATTTGGTCGCTAGCAGTTGAGCTCTCGTCACTCGCGAATACTTATTTGCTTCATACAAGGAGCGTGCGGGCGCGCGCTGGAGCTGAGCTAGTACGTTTCTGTGTATTGTGAACGTGTGCGAACTGCGTATGCATTCATGCTGTGCACGAAACTACATCGGGGCCGGTGGCCTGTCCGGCCGCCAGGAGCTTAGGCGCAGGCAGGCGGATACCGCTGTAGATCTAGCTACAGTAGGTACGACCGCCGATCCGCTGCAACTCACAAAACTTTTAAAATGTTGATGGAAGTTTCTAGTTTTGGAGTAGGTAGTTGGAACGGAGATTTCACTCAGACACATCAATAAATTGGTTTATTAATTCATAGGGAATATCAATTTATGGCGGGGGCGATTTTTCAAGATATATTGATTTTTTTTCGCCCTCGTCTTGATTTTTACCGTGGCGATTTCAGAGGTTTAGGGGGCGAATCGCCCGTCGCCACCGTGTATTTTTTTCGTTGATCCTGACCCCCATATCCCTTTGAAAGGGGCGTAGGGGCAAATATTGTAAAAATTTGAATTATCACAACTTTCGGGCCGAAATTAGAAGGTCCGGGGTGGTTCAGCATTTTGGAGGAAAATATTATATTTTTTGAATAGGTAAGTTTCCCCACAATGAATGTACCTACATGCCATTAGATGGATCTTGACCCCCATATCCCTTTGAAAGGGGTGTAGGGGCAAATATTGTGATAATTTGAATAAACACCAATTTCAGGCCGAAATGGTAAGGGCCGGGGTGATTCAGGATTTTGGAGGAAAATATATATTTTTTTTAATAGGCTAGTTTCCCCACAATGAATGTACCTACATGCAATTAAATCGATTCTGACCCCCATATCCCTTTGAAAGGGGCGTAGTGGCAAATATTGTAAAAATTTGAATTATCACAACTTTCGGGCCGAAATTAGAAGGTCCGGGGTGGTTCAGCATTTTGGAGGAAAATATTATATTTTTTGAATAGGTAAGTTTCCCCACAATGAATGTACCTACATGCCATTAGATGGATCTTGACCCCCATATCCCTTTGAAAGGGGTGTAGGGGCAAATATTGTGATAATTTGAATAAACACCAATTTCAGGCCGAAATGGTAAGGGCCGGGGTGATTCAGGATTTTGGAGGAAAATATATATTTTTTTTAATAGGCTAGTTTCCCCACAATGAATGTACCTACATGCAATTAAATCGATTCTGACCCCCATATCCCTTTGAAAGGGGCGTAGTGGCAAATATTGTAAAAATTTGAATTATCACAACTTTCGGGCCGAAATTGTAAGGGCCGGGGTGGTTCAGCATTTTAAAGGAAAAAATAATATTTTTTGATTAGGCTAGTTACCCCACAATGAATGTCCATACATGCCATTAGATGAATCCTGACCCCCATATCCCTTTGAAAGGGGCGTAGGGGCAAATATTGTGATAATTTGAATAAACACCAATTTCAGGCCGAAATGGAAAGGGCCGGGGTGGTTCAGCATTTTGGAGGAAAATATTATATTTTTTTAATAGGATAGTTTCCCCACAATGAATGTACATACATGCCATTAGATGGATCCTGACCCCCATTGAAAGGGGCGTAGGGGCAAATATTGTAAAAATTTGAATTATCACAACTTTCGGGCCGAAATTGTAAGGGCCGGGGTGGTTCAGCATTTTGGAGGAAAATATTTTTTTTTTTTAATAGGCTAGTTTCCCCACAATAAATGTACATACATGCCATTAGATGGATCCTGACCCCCATATCCCTTTGAAAGGGGCGTAGGGGCAAATATTGTAAAAATTT